ACAACCATAGTAACGTTATAACAGATAATATAGTAAACGATAAGCTGAGTTCAAGCGATCGACATTCCACGCGTAAATCACGTCAATGGACACGTTTAGAATTAAAAGTCTTAGAGAATCTTGTTTCTAAATATGGTCAAGATTGGAAGAAAGTAGCTGAACATATACCTGATAGGATGCCAAGCGAATGTGAATCTCAATATTTAATCATGTCTTCACCTGACTATATCTCGTCTCGTGTTAAAGCAAAAAGCGTTCGTACAAAAAGTACCCGAAAACTTAAATCTAAGCCGATTTTGACTGAAGAAGAATGTGAACTTTTGAACAATTTGATTGAGAAATACGGTTGTAGATGGTCGAAAATTTCAAAACATTTTCCAACAAAGAGTTTAAACTCCATAGAATCATTCGTACGTAAGAATCCAAATAAATTTTCTTCTATTTTCAAATTCCCAGAAAGATTGAGGAAACATAGATGTTGGACTGATAGCGAAATGAAATTATTAAATAATCTAATTATGAAATATGGTCGTAATTACGATGCAATTTCTCGAAGAATACTTGGTAGAACTTCAGAAGCCGTGTCTCGATTTTTGCCGCGTCATTCTCCAGATCTACCTGCACTTCGTAATGCGAATATTTTAAGATGGTTCAAATCTTCAAGCCTGTGGACTGAACGTGAAACACGTACGTTAAATGATCTTGTTGAGCAATACGGTAACGATTGGTTCCTTATATCAAGTAAACTTTACGGGAGAACAGCATTTGCATGTCAAGATAAATTTTATGCATGTTGGCAACCGAATAAAATTAAAAAAGAACTAGTATTACATAGCTGGCCGCAAGAAGCAATTCGGATTTTGGATTACTTAATATCAAAATATGGCAGATGGCAAATAATCCCGATTCTTTTACCCGGAACAACGCCATTTAATTACTATATGCGTTCTGCAACTAATATTTGGGGTTGGAGAAACCATGAGATATCACTTTTAAGAGATTTGATACAGAAGTACGGTCACGATTGGAAAAAGATTAAAGCATATCTTCCACATAAACGTGTCAATTCGATCGAGCATCATGTGAAAACAAACCCTCAACTTTATAACATTGAATATCATAAAAATGACACAGAATTATATGAAATTGAACAGAATCTTAGCGTACAAAAGCGATGGAGTGCAGATGAATTAAGAAAACTCTTAGAGTTAAGATCACAGTATGAAACAGATTGGTGCA